CGCCGGGCAGTCCACTAACGGCGATGTAGTGGAGGTCAACTCCGAGCAGCCTGATGTGCGACTTTCAGGCCGAGTTCGGAGGATGCTGGAACGGCTAGCTTACCATGTCTGCCTCCCGCCAGCCGCCTTCTCCACGTTGTACGACAACGACGACGACGACCTGGCGTACGACGACGCCGAGGACGATAAGGAGTTTCGGGAGATCGACCCCGACATGCGCGCCGACTCGAGCGCCGCTAGGACATCGCCACGATGACAGTGAAAGAGGCGTTGACGAGCTAGAAGGGCCAGGCGGTGAAGACTGCCATGGACGAGGAGATCCGTAGTCTGATCGGCAACAGCACGTGAGAGCTGGTTGAGCGCCCCCCCCCCGGCGTGAACATCATGAACCGATGGGTGCTGATGACGAAGTACCACATCGACGACACCATCGAGCGCGAGACGGCGAGGCTGGTCGTGAGAGGCTTCATGCAGTATGGAGCCGACTACGACGAGACGTACGCGCCGGTGAGCAGCTACGTCACGCCGAGGATCTTCCTCAGCATCGTCGCCGTCCTCAACCTCAACCTGATGCAGCTCGACATGAAGAACGCCTTCCTGCAGAGCAGGCTCGACCGAGTGCTGTACATGTACAGTCGGACTACTACAACGACGGGACCGGCCGGGTGTGCAAGCTGCTAAAGAGCCTCTACGGGTTGAAGTAGTTGCCGCTGCTGTGGTACAAGGTGCTCAACGACGTGCTGGTCAACGCAGGTCGACGAAGCTCTCTACTTCAAGGTCGGCGCCGACTAGGTGGCCTGTTGGGTGTTGGTCTACGTCAACAACCTGCTTGCCGCCAGCAGCAGCACCGCGATGCTGAAGGAGCTGCTGGAAGTTGCCTTCGAGCTGCGCGAGATTTTGACGGTGCAGAAGTACCTCGGCCTGAAGATCAAGCACGACAGGCCGGCGAGGAAGCTGTGGCTGCACCAGCAGGGCTATGCCGACAAGCTGCGTAGGCGTTCATTGACGAGGAGCAGGGCAGTCAGACCCCGAAAACGCCGGTCTCCGTCGACGCCTACGCTGAGCTCACCTTCGACGACGAGAAGGCACAGGAGCACCAGGAAGAGGAGTACCGGCAGAAGGTCGGCTCGCTGTAGTTCGCTTACCTCGCTAACACTCGTGACACCGGACGCTGGAGGTGGTCGGCTACGTTGACGCTGACTACGCCGACGACAAGCAAAACCGGACGAGCACGGACGGCTACGTGTTCGTCTACGGAGGGGCTGCAGTTCCTTGGTCGAGCCAGCGCATCTAGTGCGTGACAGTGTCGTCGACCAAGTCGGAGTATGTGGCGGCCACCGAAGCCGGCAAGGAGGGACGCCGCCTTCGCTTCCTCCTCGCAGAGTTCCGGCAGCTGGACGCCGGGAAGCCGACTGTCCTACGGGTGGACAATAAGTCGGCCATCATGGTCGCCGAGGGCTTGGGGTTGACAGGCAACCTCAAGCACATGTGGCGGTGACAGGCCTGGTTGCAGCACATGGTAAAGCGCGGGGAGTTGTCGCTGAAGTACATCCCGACCGCTGAGCAGCCGGCCGACTTCTTGGCGAAGGAAGTGCACTATCCGGTTTGAACCAGTGCTCCGTCGCGATCGGCCAAGTGCGCCTGGCCGAAGTCGGCGACGACAACAACGACGTGCAGCAGTAGGTTGCGGAGATAACTACTACAACGGGAGCTAGAATACGGGCTACGCACGAGGAGGGAGTGATCGTAACGTTCGTTTGTTCCTTAGTCGTTTCCTTGTGATCACACTGCTTGCTAGTTCACGAAGAGAATTGTCAAGGGTTCCACTAGAAAACATGACAACAATGATTCAGAATGATGGCAACAACATTCACAGCATAGACTACATCAGAGCAAGCAAGGCTGCTGGTCACCCTCCAGCGTAGCATGGTCGACCACGATCCAGCGCAATAGAGCTCGCACCGCTCCAGCGTTGCAGAGTAGCGGTTCGCCAACGTTGCAAGTCCACGGTGTGCCAACGTTGCGGCAAGTTGGCTCCACAGTGTTGCACCCGCAGGACAACGGTGCACCTGCTTCGCATGTGTGTGTAGCTGGTTGGTGCGCCACTCCTAGTCACGTGCACAGTGCAGACGCCTGGCAAAGTCAACGCCAGCGACTGCACCCACCAGCCACGTCGACCTAAGGATACCACCCCCCAAGATCGGCCTCGCAGAAACCACCATGGCGACCTTCGCACACGTCGCCCGGGTATCCCGGTCGACCGGGCAACCACGCCTACTCGTCCAGCCCAGTTGGTCGTTGGCTACACCAAACCCGGCGCCCCAGGCCGGCGTTCTGGCGTCCAGGTCGGCGTTCACGCGACCAAGACGCTGTCCAGGCGCCCAGGTTGGCGTCACGGCGTCCAGGACGCCGTGTAGACGCCCAGGTCGGCTTCCAGCCTTCCAGGACGACGTATAGACGCCCCGGTCGGCGTCCAGCCTTCCAAGACGCCTAGCAGACGACCAAGTTGGCATCTAGGTGCCCAGGACACGTAGCAGACGCCCAATACAGCGTCCACCTGCTCGTCGCCTTCCACACAGGCGCCCCCAGCTCAACGTTCTTGCAGTTGGCCGGGTGCTCACTGCTGCAGGTCGGCTGTATCCCCCCGCATACCCGACCACAAGGTCGGCTCCGCCCAAGCGAGGACGGGGCCAAACACTACTCCCGTTGACACTCCCCTGCCGTGTTCACGCTTGGGCCCCCAGCCCGCACGTCAGCACTACTCGGAGAACGGCTCAGCAACGTGCACATGACACACAGCACGCCGGTCACCGCACCAGCCATGCAAGAGGGCATGGCACCTACTTCTGCATGTCGTTGTCGCTATCGCCGACTTCGGCCAGGTGCACTTGGCCGATCGCGACAGAGCACCGGTTGAAGGTCGGGTAGTCGACCGGCTGCTCGGTGGTCGGGATGTAGCTCAACGCGAACTTCCCGCGCTTCACCATGTGCTGCAGCCAGGCCTGTCATCGCTCCATGTGCTTGAGGTTGCCCGTCAACCCCATGCTCTCGGTGACTGTGATGGCCGACTTGTTGTCCACCTGAAGGACAGTCGGCTTCCCGGCATCCAGCTGCCGGAACTCTGCCAGGAGGAAGCGAAGTCAGCGTCCTTCCTTCCCGGCTTCAGCTGCCGCCACGTACTTTGACTCGGTCGACGACAGCATCGCGCACTTGATGCGCTGGCTCGACCAGGAGACTGTGGCCCCTCCATAGACGAACACATAGCCACCCGTACTCGTCCGGATCTGCTTGTCGCCGGCGTTGTCGGCGTCCACGTAGCCGACCAGCTCCGGCGACCCCGGACAACTGCCGAACTCCATGGCAATGTCGCGCGTGTTGGCGAGGTAGGCGAGGCAGTGATCGACCTCGCACCTGTGCTAGTCGCTCCTCACCGTGAGGCCGCTCCCCAGCTTGCTGTAGGAGAAGGGGATGTTCAGCCTCATCGTTGTCGCGAACTGCAGTGAGCCGACCTTCTGCCGGTACTCCTCCTCCTGGCGCTACCGTGCCTCCTCGTCGTCGAAGGTGAGCTCGGCGTAGGCGTCGACGGAGACCGGCGTCTTTGGGGTCCGACCGCCCTGCTCCTCGTTGATGAAACGCCTACTGGTGCAGCCACAGCTTCCTCGCCGGCCTGTCGCGCACGATCTCCAGGCCGAGGTACTTCTGCACCGGCAAAATCTTACGCAGCTCGAAGGCGGCTTCCAGCAGCTCCTTCAGCATCGCGGTGCTGCTACTGGCGGCGAGCAGGTTGTCGACCTAGACCAGCACCCAGCAGACCACTTTGTCGACGCTGACCTTGAAGTAGAGAGCCTCGTCGACCTGACTCTTCTTCCAGCCAGCGCCGACCAGCACGTCGTTGAGCGCCTTGTACCACAGCAGCGGCAACTGCTTCAGCCCGTAAAGGCTCTTCAGCAGCTTGCACACCCGGCCGGTCCCGTCGTTGTAGTAGTCCGGCTGGTACATGTACAACACACGGACGAGCCTGCTCTGCAGGAAAGTGTTCTTCATGTCGAGCTGCATCAGGTTGAGGTCGAGGATGGCGACGATGCTGAGGAAGATCCTCAGTGTGACGTAGCTGCTCACCGGCGCGTACGTCTCGTCGTAGTCGGCGCCGTACATCTGCGTGAAGCCCTTCACGACCAGCCTCGCCTTCTCCCATTCTACGGTGTCGTCGATGCGGTACTTCGTCATCAGCACCCACCAGTTCTTCATGATGTTGACGCTGGGGGGGGGGCGCTCAACGAGCTCCTACGTGTCGTTCGCGATGAGGTTCCGTATTTCCTCGTCCATGGCGGCCTTCACCGCCTTACCCTTCCAGCTTGCCAGCGCCTCCTTCACCGTCATGGTCGCGATGTCCCAGCGGTGCTCAGGGTCGGCTGGCATGTCGAGGTCAAGCTCCAGAAACTCCTCGTCGTCCTCGGCGTCGTCGTACGCCAGGTCGTCGTCGTCATTGTCGTACAGCGTGGTGAAGGCGGCCGTCAGGAGACAGACATGGTAGGTTAGCCGCCGGCGGCCTCTGGACTCAGTCCGAACGCCGTAGTTCAGGCTGCTAGGGGCTAACCTCCAATATGTCTCTGTTGGTGGACTGCCCGGTGACCGACTGCTCCCCTTTAGCTTCGCCGGCTGCACTGTCCTCTTTGTTCTGCTGCACCAAAGCCGGGTCCCAGCCGTCTTCTCCGTTGCCGGCAGCTCCCTTGTCGGCTTCATTGTTCGCTCATCCCCTGTCGGAAATTTTCCGGCAGACGCCTCCTTCGCCGACTTCGCTTTTGTCAGTGTTGGCTCCTCGGCCTGCTGCTTCTACACCGACTTGCTTGACGCCACGCCGTCCACCGGCGATGCCCGTGGTCGGTGCCACATGCGATGCCCCACTGCTCCCCTCATCGCCGGAGGCCGACGTTGGTGTCAGCGCATGCGGAACGGCGAAGAGAGGAGGAAGAACCTCCTCGGCGTCCTCATCAGCAAGATTACCGACCTCGGCGAGCAGATGGAGTGTCGCGGTGGAGGTGTCCATCGGCGAGGTGGCCGGCATCCGCCCCGACGCCGGCCTGTGCATCGACTTCCACACCTCCAGCGACATGGTTTTGTAGAACACCACGTCAGACGTGGTGAGCACCTGGTTGTCGACAAGGTCGAGGAGCTCCCAGCCCTTGCTCTCCTCCGACACGCCGAGGTGAAGGCCATACTTGGCCTTCGGCTGCAGCTTCCCACCGCGCTGCTGCTCGGGGACGAGGAACTGCGCCATGCAGCCCCACACGCGTGCCAGCGACAAGTCGGGCTTCGTCCCAGTCAGCAGCTGGTACGGCGACGTCCCCGGCGGCAGCGTCGACCTCTCAAGGCAGTTGCGGACCCAGACGGCCTGCCGCAGAGCGAGGTCCCTGGCGTACAGCAGCATCGTCTGAACAGACTCCACCACCGTCCTCATCTCCCGCTCTGCCATTCCGTTCTCCTGCGGGGTGTATGGACAGGTCAGGTCGTTGACGATCCCCTTGCAGTCCACGAAGGTAGTGAAGTCCTCCCCACCCCGGTCAGAACGCAGCATCAACACCTTCTTCTTCGTCTGCCGCTCAACCGTCACCAGCCACTGCTCGAACTCTCGCAGCACGTCGGACTTCCTGGCAACCGGCTTCACTCACACGTAGCGGGTCTGGCGATCCTTCAACAGCAGGAAGTACAGGCTGCCATCCTTGGCGGCCACACGGAACGGCCCGCGCAGGTTGATGTGCACAACGGATAGGGCGTCCTCGGCGTCCGAGCCCTTGTCGGGAAAGGTGTGCCGTACCAGCTTCCCACCGATGCACGAGACACAACGTGAATCGGCGCCGGACGCCGACTTGAGGTCCAGCCCGGTGGCGACCTCGTGCTTCGCCGAGCGCAGGATGGTGTACATGCCGACGGGAACGAGCCTCGCGTGCAGCCTGTCCGGCGTCGCCTTTGTCGCCGAGAAGATTGTCCGCACGGCCACATCCTCCGCTGCATTCGTCGCCGAGCAGGGACATAGGTCTGTGCAGAGGACCCAGCCGGAATACGTTGCTCGGTCGAGGACGTTGTCGGTCGCCGAGATGAGCAGCATCCCATCCCGTCGGTCTTCTTGCAGCTTCACGCCGTTCTCCTTCAGCTGACCGGCCGACAGCAGGTTCGCGTGCACGCCCGGGACGTACAGCACGTCGGGGAGGAGCACCCGCTTCCTGGCCGCCCCTTGCAGCGCAACCGTGCCCCGTCCCTTGACGTCCTGCAGCGCCCCATTGAAGCCGCGCACGTGCATGACGTCGCCGCTCGGCTGCATGTCAACGAAGACCTCCTTCGCCCCCATCAGGTGGTGGGAGCAGCCGCTGTCCAGCAGGACCACCGCCGGGTTCGCCTGCACGGCTGCTGCCACCGCCTGGAAATCCTCACCGGCCTCCGGCGCCAGCGAGACGGTCGGCTCCACGATGCCGACCAGCAAGCACGACGCCTCCTCGTCGCCTTGCCCCTTGCCGTCAGTAGAGGAGTCGGCGTCCTTCGCCGAGGTCGACTTGATCGATTGCTTCTCCTTGCACTGCTGGTTTCCTCGACGTGGACGACGGCTGGCCGACCTCCCGCGGCCTCCCTTGGCGTCGTCGTCGTCGGAGTCACTGCGGTCGGGGCACTCGAAGGAGAGATGGTTGGGGTCGCCGCACTGCCAGCATTCCCGGTGTCGCCCTCCTCCTCCACGACCGCTGTTCTTGGCCGGCTTCTTCTTGTCGGCGTCCTTAGCCGGATTCCCACCTCCACATCCATCACCGCCAGGCTTGCCGCGCTGCCCCGGTCGACCACCTTGCTTTGTCGGGCCAGCGTAGTTCACCTGCGGCAGGAGCTCCGAGGACTGCTCAGCTTCCTGCATCGCCTTGTCCTGCAGGATGTACGATGTTATGGAGTCCTCGTTGATCGTTGCCCTCGTGCTCGGCGCCATCGACAGCCGCTTTAGCAGGTTGTAGCTGCTCGGAAGCCCCTTCAGGACATGGGTGACACCGTTGAGCATTGCACGTCGGACATCCTCGTGGTGGCGAGGAGCCGAGCCCGGCTGCAGTAGCCGTAGCTCGGCGTAATCCCTCCCGCCGTCACGTGAGTCGCCGACATCGGCGCCAATCCGCTTCGTCGGCCTCCGACGTCGCCCTGCAAGGCCCTTGCAACCGTCAACAACCGCATCCCTCGCGCCTGAACGCCGCCGACTTCACCGGCGTGTATTAATCCTCTCGGCCTCGATGTGCAGGCATGCTCAATGTGCAGTCCCTTGCAGAGCTCAACGCACATCTTGCAGGCATGCCGGCAAATGAGGGTCAGTATTTTTTGTGCATGGTGAAAGCATGTGGTTCACAACAAGGTGCTAGCTAGACTGTGATGGAGGTGCCTCAATTCCAGCGCGCTATGCATGGCAGGAGTGTTCCTCCCCATGGCCAAGGGATGCTTCAGAATGGTGAGGCTTCTAGAGGACGAGGCTGTGCTCATAAGCTCTCGAGACAATGTGCCCTTGATGCTGCATCTTGAAGTCCTCAACTGCCTCCCCTTGAGGTTAGCTCGTCTTGTGAGGATCTAGGATCGAGCTCAAAAAAGAGAGTTTGAATTGAATGAATCACCTGGGTATGACACGATGCTATATATAGGCTCGACACAAGGCCCAGTAACCAGGTGTTACGCGAAGGTTCCGAGGGTCGCGAAGCGTCCCAAACAGACCCTTCCGGAATTCGGTAGAAGGCAATTCGGTGGCAACCGAATAGCCTAGAATTCAGTGTTCGCAACCGAGCTCGGTGCTATAACTATAAAATAATATAGGAAAGCACCTAGCCTAGGAAATCAAGCAATTCATGCATGCATAAAATAAACCTATGCTAGAAATAGCATAATAAAGTAAAGGCAAGCAAGCATAGCATGCATAAGCCTCCGTACTCTCACACGTCCCCCCCTCAAAGCTAGGTGGCGTGAGATACACCCTGCTTGACAAGATAGTCCTTGAGAGCACGGCGTGCATTGCCCATATCAGCTTCTGCAACCCAACTGTCCTCAGTAGTGTCGTATCACTTCCACCTTATCAGGAACTCGAGGGTCTTGCCACCGCGGCGCCGATGAGTGAGAACACGCTCAATCTCGTACTCTGGTTCATCCTGTACGAGTACAGGTGGAGGTGGCGGTAGCTGCCGTCCCTAGAACTGTTGGTTGGGGACCTGGTAGGGTTTCAGTAACAGAACATGGAAAGCGTTGTGAAGGTTCCACGTATCTGGTAAGTGCAAGCGGAATGTAACTGGTGTCACCTGTGCCTCCACGAGAAAAGGACCACAGAAGCGAGGCCGGGGTTTGGATGGTAGGTAAGTCAGGTTCAAGTTGCGTGTGTTAAGAAGCACCTGATCTCCGACTGCTACTAAGTGATCTCGTCGCTGGCGATCGGCATACTGCTTCTGGGAGTTTTGCATCGTGGTGAGACGTCGCTGCATGGTGGTGACGAAATCGTGTGCAGCTTGGACATATGCCGGTGTGGTAGGCTGCTGAGGTGTAAGTGGTTCTCATCTGTAACATGGGAAGAAAGAAGTTTTTCCTGTGGCCGCATGTGAGGCGTTATTGTAAGCGACCTCTAAGGTGGGAACTGTATGTCCCAGTGGCTGATGTCGTCTTTGTGAGCTGTGCGCAGTAACTATTCAGCCACCTAATTGAGTCGCTCCGTCTGTCCATCAGTCTGTCGATAGTATGCTGAAGACATCGCAAGCTTAGTCCCCAACAGTCCCATGAGCTCCTTCCAGGACTAACTCGTGAATTTTGGGCCTCGGTCTGAGATGAGTGTAGCGGGGATACCGTGGATGGTGATGATGCGGTCGAAGATGAGGCGAGCAGTTGCTTCAACTGTAGCCGTGGTGTTGATCGGGATGAAGGGACCCATTTTGGAGATCTTATCGATCACGACAAGGATGGCGTCATGCCCTCGTGAGGTCGAAGGAAGTCCCGTGATGAAGTCGAGGCTAACGACCTGCCATGGCTGCTCCGACACGGATAGAGGCTGAAGTAACCCTGCTTTCTTCTGCTTGCTACTCTTCATCCGCTGGCACGTGTCGCATGAGGTGACGAACTGCTGCACGTTCGCTGCCATCCGGGGCCAGTAGTAATACTTTGCTATTCCCGCTAACGTTTTGTTGCTCCCGAAATGTCCCGCGTATGGTACGTCGTGAAACTCCTCCAATAGGATCTGCCGTAGCGGGGCGTAGTTCGGTACCCAAATCTTTCCTGAACCCTTCCTTACCGCTAAGTCTTTCTCCCACTGTAACAGCTTCTGTTTCTCTGCCGTTGCTATCTTTGCGTTCACGGTGTATTCATGTTGGCTTAGACCCTTGAGAAGAGGGTTCATCCCGTCGAGCTAGATGCCTGATACAAGTCCAGGGCGGCTCAACGCGTCAGCTTTGTTGTGTAGCCCGGGCTTGTAGACGATGTCGTAGTGGAAGTGGGTCTTTAAGAAATCCACCCACCTGATATCTCATCGTGAGAGCGTCGGCTGCGACTTCAGGTACTTGAGGCTGCAGTGGTCAGTGTATACTGTGGTCTTGGCTCCCTCTAGGTTACACCTCCACGCCTTGAATGCTATAACTATGGCTAAGGCTTCCTTGTCGTGGATGGGGTAGTTCAGTTCTGCTCCATGTAGCATCTTACTGAGGTAGGCAAAAGGTTGTAGACCGTATCCGTGATCTTGCATTGGTACTGTTCCGACTGCCTGGTCACTAGCGTCTACTTCAACTTCGTAATCCTTGTCTGGGTCCGGTAGGATGAGTACTGGCGCTGTAGTCAGTGCTGTCTGTAGCTGTTCCATGGCTTGCTGATGAGGAGTATCCCATTTGAAGGGCGTATCCTTTTTCAGTAGGTCGGTCAGTGGCGCTGCTATCTTAGCGTACTGCGGCACAAACCTGTTGTAGTAGTTGGCGAAGCCTAGGAACTACTGCAACTCCTTCACGTTCTCCGGGACTTTCCACTTTTTAACGGCTTCAATCTTCCGCATGTCTACGTGTACGCCCTCGGCACTCACCATGTGCCTGAGAAACTGCACCTTCTTCAGTGCGAAGTCGCTCTTCGACAGCTTCACGTAGAATCTCGAACACCTTCCACAGATGCTCCACGTGCTCCTTCATGTTCTTGGAGTAGATGAGAATGTTGTCCAGGTACACTACTACGCACTTGTCTAGGAAAACCCTTAGGATATGGTTCATCGCCGCCGGGAATGTCGCTGGTGCGTTGCAGAGTCTGAACGGCATCACCAAGTATTCGTAGGAGCCGTATCTGGTACGGAACGCCGTCTTGTGGATTGAGTTGTCCGCCATCTTGATCTGGAAGTAACCCGACCCTTAGGTCCAGCTTCGAAAAGGCTGTTGCACCACCCAGTTGGTCCAATAACTCTTCTATGCGTGGCGTGGGTTTTTTTTTTTTTTTTTTTTTACTGTCTGTTTGTTTAGTGCGCGGTAGTTGATGCACATGCATAAACTGCCGTCTTGTTTTGGGGTGAAGAGAACTAGTGCATCGTAGGGAGAGGTGGATGGGCGGATTAGATGTCTGTCCAGTAAATACTCGTCTGTTTCTTTTTGTCTGTCAGTTCTGTCGGACTCGGTCGTTATGGTGCACGTGAGACGGGTTTCGCACCTGGTTTCGCACCTGGTGCTCGTGGGTGCGTGCTGGAGGTACGCCTGCGGGTAGGTCGTCGGGCATTATATCCTTGTACTGCTCCAAGACCTCCTTCACTGCTGCAGGTAGCTCCGAACTCGGCTTCTCCTCCTCTGCTGCTGCCATGACCAGTGCTAGGTAACCTGTGTTACTCTTGTTCAACGTCCATTTGAACTGTGCCAGTGTCGTTTCAGGAACGTCCCCTGTATCCGTCCAGCTTCATTGCTGTATCCGCTTCCCGTTGTTGTAGATGCACACCTTACTGTTGACCCAATCGATTTCGGGGTTGAACCGTTTCAAGAAATCTCACCCCAAGGTGAAATCTAACCCTTTGATGTTAGTTACTGGTAGCCTCGGCTTCCATCTCAACGCACCTATATGCAGCTGCAGTGATGCTTCGCTGTGGATGGGAAGCTTCGTACCGTCCACCATCGTTGCTGAGAATTGGGTCTCCTCCGCATTTTCTCCAATTTTCTCCAATTTTTCGCGGTCACATACCGAGTGAGATGCACTACTATCCACCAGTGCCTGGAGGCGTCGCCCATTGCATAACACCTCGAGGAGTAGTGGTTTCTGCTGCGCTGAGTAGCCAAAGAGGGTCTCATGAATAGGATCATAGGGTACCTCAAAATGAATACCCTGCGGAGATAACTGCTGCAACGGGAGCTAGACTACGGGCTAGGCACGGGTGCTCATGTGATCTCTGCGTTCTCTGTTCCTTAGACGTTTTCCTAGTGTTCCTACATCAGAGCTAGGATGCAAGCAGGTCGACTGCCAGCGCAGCACGGTCGACCGCGTGCCAACGTGACTTGGTCGACCACGCTCCAGCAGTGCAGAGTCGCGGCTTGCCAACGCTGCAGGTCGACGGTGTGACAACAGCGCAAGTCGACGGCGTGCCAGCGTTGCTCCCGCAGTACAGCATCGCACCCGCTTCGCAGGTGCTCGCAGATGATTGGCGTGCAGTGCCTCGTCACCTGCACAACGCACACACCACGTCAACTTCGTGCTGACGACTGCTTCTGATCGGCCAAGTCAGCCTCGGGATACCACCACCGAGGTCGTCCTCGCCAACGTCGCCTGGGCGACCGTCGCGTGCCTCCGCAGAACCTCGTCACCCAGGTAACATGGTCGACCGGGCAACCAAGTCAACCAGCTGCTCCTGTGCATGCCCGTCAACCTCCAAGGTCGACGACCACTCCAAGTCGACCTCACCAGGTCGACCAAACCCTCTGGTCGACCAGCTCTAGGTCGACGTCACCCCTGGTTGACCAGCTCCTCGTCGACCAGCACAGTTGTCAGCCGACCCCAAAGTCGGCTACCCGAAGTCGACATCACCAAGGTCGACGCCCTCTG